TCATAGCAATTATTTCAGTTATCAAACATAACTGAAAACATAATTTAGAAAAATTAGTTTAAGTATAAAGTATTGGGAGACTAATAGACCGGAAATATGATAACTGTTTCGTTAGAAACTGATAGCTCTATAGTCTCTATGGTTTTGCTTCTAATTAAATATTAAACTCAATTGAGAGCATAGAGAGCACCGGTACTAAAAAAGTTAAGCTTTCAATACATTTGATACGACAGACATCTCAACAATATTTGATATGAAATTAAATGAATTACTAATAAAATAACAATAATTCAAATATCATGTCATAAATCATATGTCATATCATACGAGAGATTTGTGGTCAAATATGTCAACAATATTGAGATCAAATGAATGAAGGATTAGTTTGAAATGTTTGGCATTAAAAATGAGTGTCTGTGTGACTGAATGGCACCAATTGATGCATTCATGAATGGATCCATTGGTGATGACAAGTGACAAATGGATGGATACCTTCTTCGTCAACCCATTTCATAGTAAAACTCTGTTGGGAACCAAACCGACAAATGTCTCGCATTTCGTTACACAAGTCGTTGAGATATATATCGTCTTTGATATATATGACCATAATTTGCCTGAAATGTAGTCAATAGTGAGATAATGAGTCAATTGATCCCGAAGTGAAGCAAACAATCATCAAATGTTGAACAAACCCATTGAAGGCGGCCTTCACTCGTATTAATTCGGTATCCATTTGTCAAACCATTCAAATGACACTAATATTGGTATCAATTGGTAATTAAGTAGACATTCATGTAAGCGATCAATGGATGGATGAGTTGGGAGTAAATGATTGTCCGATTGAGTGGTGATTGAGTGACTGATTCAGTGATCACTGATCGCCAATACAACCACTGATTGTGATTGCGTTCATGTATTCAATGCATTCACAGTCACTGTGTTGTCATTCATTGCATTCACGAACAGTGCTGTGTTTGTCGAGTCAGTCACTGCAATGTCAACTTCACTGCAATCACTGCAAGCCATCCAAATAGAGTACAGGTATTGGCGAACAACACATGCATTGCAATCAACACACCCTCAACACCACTCACACCTGTGTAAAGCAATCGTATATATAGTGCACTCTTACGGTCAGTACTGCAACTGACGGGCATTTGTTATACAACTTTTAAGTGCCGGTTACCATAGACTAGCTATTATTATAGCTATTAAAAGTGCATTTAAACTAAATTAAACAATTTTCAACTAAAATACTCTCCAATGAATGGTTATGAATGGATGATAATGGCCATCACTGTCTAAAACATACAGTCAATGTGACCACAAGTGTGCGCGCATTCAAGTCACGTGTAGTCTGTGAGACACATGTGTTGTGTTGACTGTTTTGAATGCAAAGTTTACAAACATATGACACACTAGTGAACCACTGATGACTGTGTCTAAGATATGGATCAGTTAAAGCAATCAATTGATAGTTTCAATGTCTCGATGGACACCAGTGTTAACAACAATGACATCAACAAAGCGGTGAAGCGTTTGTTGTCGTGTTTGCAGTCGTATTGCAAAAGACATTCATTGACCACATTTGATGAGCCATTGGCTGAAGAGTTGGTCAAATGTATGACCAAATTGGAGGCAATAGTGTTGTTTGACGACAGTTTCGCCGAGACTTCGGTGCTCTCGGGTTTGGCCATTGCTTTGGCACTCATTATACGTGTAAATGATGTGCAGAAAGCCATTCATCTATTTTTTAGACTCTTTTTAAAGCAAAGTATTGTTAGCATTGATTTGAATGCTTACAAATCGGATGACAACTTAATCCGTGTCTTAAGCTCTTGTGAGAGCGACAATGATTTGACAAAAGTGTCACTTTTGACGGCAATCTTCAACTGCTCTTATTTTACAGACTATTTGATTGAAAATGAGTCCAAAGTCTTCATTCGTATTCACAGCCATATTATTAAGATATGTTCGCAAAGACTTATACATCAGTTCCATGTCTTCAGATTACTTCAGCACTGGTTTAGAGTTTTGAAAACATATGTAAAGGCATTGGCGGAGAAAGAGCCTAATTTTTTGGACGACAATACCATTATTACCAACACTTTGATAGAGATTGATAGCAATTGGGAACATCCTATCAATGGAGTGAAGGATTGCATTAAAATAATCTATAATTTAATTTTGGAGACATTTATTTCATTTAACAAATGTGTTGATAAGAGTTGTGCCAAAACTTCATACAATCTCATTGAAGGAGAAGTGATGAAAACGAGTCAACTGTCGCTCACATCGAAAGCCAAATACCGAAAGCTTTCGATTTTAATTCAATTTATCGGATGGAAACGAGTCATTCAATTTGATCCCAACCTGTCCTCACAAATGCTTAATTATATCTCAATTAATAGTCTTTCGACTTCTATTATAGAGTTATATAAAGCTGTTATCATTTCCATGAAAAGTGATAAAAATGAAGACATTGTCATGAATTGGTCCCATTACTGGTTACCACATATTTGCGAAGCTTTGAAATCAAAGAATAAAGTGATGCACAATAATATGATCGCACATGTGTTGCCATTTACCATCAGAAGCATCGACAGCTCGACTCAATTGATATTTGAAAATATAAACGACTCGTTGATAGCAGAGGTGGCAGTGATTCGGTCGGCCATTGATAACAACATAAGCATTGATTTCATGCCTTCTATCTCATGGTTTCAACAAATCCTATGCAATACTGAAGACTTTGTCCGCTTAGAGGGTTTGAGTGTTTTAGTGGATGAGAGATATATAAGCGATAGAAACAAAGTGTTGCCATTGTTTAAACACTTCCTATTAACGAACCTAAATGTAGACAATCCATCGTTTCGACAGCGAATGGTCAGTAAAATTGAACACTTCTTAACCAAATTGTGTATCAGTTTAGACGATAAGTTGCGATTGCATGGATGTTATGATGCCTCCGATTTGATAACATATCAGTTTATTAATGAATACATAATTATAATCACATCTAATCTCATATCCGGGGCTTCATATCAACGAAGAATTACCTGTCTTACTCTTTTGGACAATTTTTTTGCAATCAAAGAGAAAACTAATATACAGTTTGAGAACTCTGTGGACTTGAATGTAGTATATTTAGAGATAATCTTGTCTGTCATTGACAAAGACGACAAAGTGAGGAAAATGGCTTCAAATTTGTTGATTACTTTTCATAAGAATTACCACAATTTAATTGATTGTAATCTCAATCAAATAGCAGAGATTGCTATGGATTTTGTGAACAGTCCTCGACATCAAGAATCACATGCTGGAGGACTGCTATTTAAATACATAATCAACTGCTTCGAGTGCCTAACAATCAATGGGAAACAATTATCTGATGAATTGGCTTTAATTGAATTCTTTGTGGAGTCATCGCAATCACAATTAAAATCATCGAAAATAGATTTTTTAGATTCATCTAAGAATAGTCCGATTCATGGGTTTATATTAGCTCTCAATAACTGTTTGTCTTGCGATCGTTTGCTTAAGTTTTCCAAACAAAACCGATTTAGAGATATAATGAATGAGTTAATTGTGTTCAGTTTTGAGTGCATAGACTTAATGCTGAGTCAACTCTCCAAAGATAATATAGAAACTTCGCCTTCTTTTCAAGAGATGTGTGAATCACTCGAAGCCATAATTAGTGATCAAATTGATGCAAATGAGGACAAATGTATTGACGATGTTTCCACTTCTAATGATTTCCAACTTTTACTATCCATGTGTTGGCTTAACATAAAAGAGTGTAGTTTTCTGCTAAATAATTTGGTTGATTTGGATCATAACTGCAAACATACCATTCTTGAGGATTCTGTTGTCCTTAAGATAGGTTTAAAGCTAATTAATATTCTTACTCGATGTCGACATAAAGGTGTGATTGAGGCCACATGTATAGCACTCACTAGATTTACTGTAGATCTCATTAAGATGAAGAGTACTAGTGATCAACACATTCACACTTTACGACACTTATTGACAGACTCTCTGAATTGTATCACCAAATCAGCCCTCAGTTCGAGTATAACCCGAAAGTCTGCGGGCGTTGGGCTAACCATTCAGGCCATACTGATTGGCGAATCTGAGGCATACACTCAAGGGTTTACACTCGAGTCCTCTCTTTTCAATTCAACTATTGATGAATTGATAGAAATTGCAAACTCAGAGATACCCATCAATATTGATTCAAAGACTGATTTATCGCAAACTTATGCCTTACATATTCTCAAGTCTATAATGAGTACATCTTCACTCTCACGGCTCACCATAAAAACAGTTGAATATTTGCTTCCGATTTGCATAAAAGGCTTTTGTAGTGATTTGTGGCAAATACGTAACGCTTCCCTTCAGTTGTTTGGCGCGTGTTGTTGCCGAATGTTGGGACAGCCGAAGATCAGTCATATCGATCACTTGATGTCAAATGGCTCTACCATTACATACAACGAACTCTTTTCTCGTTATCCGACGCTATTGTCTGTAATTAGAAACCAATTGAAACAAAGTTTTAAGAAAATAGAGAAGGGATTGATGTGCTCTGAATTGGTGCCCATTTTGGCATTATTTGCATCATTTTCTCCCATTTGTTTCGGAGATTTCTATACCGACAAACAAATTTTGGATTATTTGATTCATCTCTTAAGTAATAAGATGTGGAAAATCCGAATGTTGTCCGCGAAGGCATTGAGCTGTTTATTACCTATTAATCAATTGGAAGCACTCTTATTGCAGTTGTCTTCTCAACACAATCTTAACTGCAACTCAATTCACGGGTTAATGCTTTCAGTCAATCATTTACTTGAATTGAAACAACAGATCAAAGCAAGTGATTGGCAGACAATTAAACACGAGTTTGCAGTCATATTTGAGAATTGTATTCAAACAAATTCCAAGTGCTATGTATTAAAAGATGTCTTTCAAGAAATTTTTACTGATAGTAATCTGCAAATTGATTTTTGTGGTCAAGAATTATACGCTAATGAGGAATCATTGGGTGAAAGTGAGTGCAACGAGAATATGTGTTTAATTGAAAGGTTGATCACAATTGGTTCAGATGTGACGTTCACTAAAAGTGATGACATCCGACTTAATGCCGCAAAAATTCTCAGTCAGATAATCGATGGACTCAACAAAGAGTTAGAATCGTATGACTCATCGGATTGTTGTGATATTTTGCTCAAAATAACTGAAATTGTTTTGGTTATCATTGAAGATGAAGATAGAGATGTGAGAACTGAAGCCGAGATAATAGCATCCAAATTGATATATTCGTCTGAATCTATACAAAACAGTTATCACTTGTCATATAATATAGCAATCGATAATCTATTGATTTGGTTCATTGAGAACTCATTAATAAGCGATGAGAAGAAAGTAGACTTTCTTATGTGTAAATTGGAAACTATTATATCATTGTCTCAATTAATTGAAAGCCGTCTCCAAAATCACATACTTTTCGAGAAGGAAGAGAAGAATGTTTTCGCAGAACCGGTGTTTGTTTTGTTTAAAATAAGTGATGCCTTAAAAAGAGTCATTTCCAGCAAATCGGTTCAAATTAATGAAAAAAGTTTCAAACGATTGGCGAATGACTGCACATATTGTTTGGAACATAAGTCTATTCTTGAAATCGATCATTTGGTTTCATTTAGTATTTGGAAACTCCCGAAACTGTTTGTTTATTTGAGTGGTCTATACCTACGAATAGAAAACATATTTCATTCATATTCTGTCGACTTAATGAACGAATCACTGCAAGAATTACATGTCTCTACCGATTGTGTGGAAAACAGTACTAAATTGAATCAAATATTAAGTGATAAACAAATGGAGATCATTAGACAAATGTATACACTCTTGTCGTCCAAATTCGCATTTTTATTGCATATTAAAGGCAATTCATTGTCCGGTTATTCACTCTTAAAATTTAAATTTTAAATTTATTTTTCAATAAATTAAGTGAATTCTTATCTAAAACTAATAAATCTTACATTATTTGTAATTTAAGACTTATTCGTATACTTAATACCACTAATACTGTAAGTGTGGACCAGTGCTCACGCCTGACCACTCATGTCGGGCTTGGGTTTGTGAGCCCAACCGGAGGTCAACTTCTTGAGCTCTCCGATGGCTTTACCCGGATTGAGGTGTTTAGGACAGGTTCGGGTGCAGTTCATGATTGTGTGGCACCGATACAACGAAAAGGGATCCTTCAGTTTCTCCAAGCGCTCGGCTGTGTTCTCGTCGCGCGAGTCAATGACCCACCGGTAGGCCTGCATGAGGGCCGCCGGACCCAAATAGCGGTCACTATTCCACCAATAGCTCGGACACGACGTCGAGCAACAGGCGCAGAGAATGCATTCATAGAGACCGTCCAATTTGTCCCTGTCTTTGATACTCTGGAGGTTCTGTTTGTTCGCCCCTTTGGTCTCGTCCTTCTTCTGAAGCCACGGCTCAATGGAACGGTATTGTTGGTAGAAGTGATTCATATCCTATACAAAACATGATATTATGAAAAAGTCTGCAACTTTGCCGCAATTTCAATCACTCACGGGAACTAAGTCTTTGATGACATATAAGTGCGGCAACGGATAGATTTTGGTGGCATTACTGACGTTGTCATCAATTTTGCAAATACAGGCCAATGTATTAGTGCCGCCGATATTCATAGCACATGAGCCACATATGCCTTCCCTGCACGAGCGCCTGAATGTGAGGGTCGGGTCCATTTCATTCTTGATTTTAATCAATGCGTCCAAAACCATTGGACCGCATCTATGAGCCATACAATCCAGTAATCCATTGACACAAACTCATGATTAAAAAAAACTCACGAATTGAGGTCCACATCATATGTCTGTAAATGTGGTTTCACTGAAGACTTCTCGGGATCCTATGGTTGGATACAAGAGTGCAACAGAATTGCAGTTTAAATGCTAGCATTAACTCAGACGTTGTGTCTAATCTAATCAACTGTTATAAGTGTCAACTCCTGATAAGAGTAATTGCTTTACAAGAATTATTTCATGATTAATGCAACACATTATCATAACTTGCGATAAGAAAAGGTTTCCTCTAATTATTTAGTCGCTAAGAATGCCGACTAATATGCAAATTGCCATCTATTATGCAATCAGTATTATATAATCTATTGTATTGTATGGGCAAAGGGTTATGGCTTTTGTCAAACAGTTATCCAACTGTTATGACAAAATCTTTTATATTTCCATATAATGACAGACTTTATATAAATTAAATGAAACGCTTGGAGTGTGCAGTGAAGATATGTCCGACACTTATGTTCACAACAATTGTGTGTTTGAAGGACTCGTTCACACATTACTCTATAAACTGTAATATTCAACACTATATCGTCTTTACGCTAATTATGTCACAAATATGGTTAAGCCGTCAACTAATACATGCGTTACACTACTGACCCATCGATAGATTGAGAACTTCTTCAGTTTCTGCTTATTCTTGGTTTCAGCCATTGTTTGAGTGGTTCTCACCTTTCATTGAAAATATAATTTTCATAAATTAGCAAAACTTCACATAAATTGCTTATAATTATGTCAATACTCACTCCAATGGGGTAATAATACAGACATTGTCTGGTGTTTCGGCACAGAAGTGATGACATCTTCACTATAACTATAATTGCAATCAATTAAACACTTAAGAGATTCAATCAATTCATACAATTATCTCACTTTCAATTCAATTCAATATTTCACTCAACACTCAAACCACAGAATAATTAGTGAATCACTTTTCGGCCAATTCTTGACACACATCGACACACAAACTGTAACTCCCATTGAAAGCATTCATCAAATGTTTGATTAACCGAAAGCTGAACGCATTTTATTAATAAATATATCCATAAGTGATGGCAACATATTTGCAAAACTTTGTGTAGATTTGCGGCCAAAAGGCATCGAAAGGGCGCACAAAGTGTTGTCGTAATTATTGGCGTAGAAGTGGTTGACTGAAGTGATTGCGTGGTCTCTCAATCCAAAACTCAACACATTTTCAGTGTTTTGTCGATACATTTGAATCACTTGTGAAGCACTCATTGATTGTCCTGAAGAATGGCTGTCGGAAAGAAGGCATTGACGAGAGAGGAAGAACTTCTTCTGCAGGACTTCAGCCGAAACGTGTCCACGAAATCTTCGGCTCTCTTTTACGGCAATGCATTCATAGTGTCGGCGATTCCTATCTGTAAGTGTATTCATATCTCTTGCATCACTTCCACGGGTGATGAATGTCTGACTGACTGACTGGTGTTGTGGTTGTGTTTAGGGCTGTTTTGGCGCATCCATCAGATGGACTTGTATTCATCGGTAGTGGTGTTTGTGTTGGTGTCAGCGATCACCACATGGTTGGTGTCGTTCGCCTATAAGAACATAAAGTTTGTTTTGAAGCATAAGATCGCGCAGAAGAGGGAGGAGGCGGTGGCCAAAGAGGTGATGCGCGGCATCGGAGACGACAAGAAGATGACGAAGAAGGAGAAGGACGAGAGGGTGCTCTGGAAGAAGAACGAAGTGGCCGACTATGAGGCCACCACTTTCGCCATCTTCTACAACAACGCTCTCTTCTTAGCGCTCGTTGTCTTCCTCTCCTTCTATATCTTGAGATCCTTCTCTCCAACCGTTAATTACTTGGTTTCAGTTACCGGTTCCGGTGCTCTCTTAGCCCTGTTCTCTACCGGTTCCCGATAACTGCCATTCCTTTCATATGTTTTGAAATAAATTTTTTGTTTTAAACTCGACTAATGTTTTAGCATTTATTAGACATTCTTATCAAAGGTTTACATAAAATAATTGAATATTAAACTAAATTTAGGAATACATTGATTTGAGATTACATTTTTTGATAACAAATCCATTTGATGCTTAAATTATTGCCATTTTCAAACGGTATGTGAATTATTCGTTTGTCATCCGATATATGAATCTTATGGTCGAATTGATCCGGAAATTCAAAGAATTTTCTCTCTTTGACCAGAATTTGATGAGTTCTTAGCCATCGCTCGAATTGATTAGATTTGGTGTCAATTCTCGCCAAATAATCCCTATAGAAATCACTGGATATGATGGCAGTGTTTGGGTTCTGGAGGGCAGCGTATAGTATGTAACAGTCGTCTTGAGTCTTATTCATGGCATAGAACATAGAGATCCGTTCCCTTTGTGTCCAAAGCATTTGGTTTAGTTTCGGCCAATTCTTCATATGCTTTCTGCCGACTATTAATATGTTCTCGTATTTAGTGAACACTTTATGTTTGATAAGCATTTCCACAACATTTGTGTCGATATTTTCTTTAGAGAATGTTTGCACAAATTGTCTCAAATTATTCTTGTCTTCGACCACATCCGAGAAGGTAGAGAAGGCTATGTTGAGGCCATCGATCACCAGATCTAACGGCTTTTTTGCCGTCATTTTGCGCATAAATTTCTCAAAGTTTTGCAACTCTTTCTCATATTCTGGTAGTGAAGCCATAAGTATATCGTTTTCTTTGCTGAATATAACGGATCGAAATTCTTTGAGCAAAACTCTCTGCTCTTCAGGCGATAGTCTTCTCAATGTTTGGTTACACTTAAGGCATAAACCTTTTCGTCCGATCGATGTCTCAAATCTTTTATAAGATAACCTTTCCATGAGTTAAATTCTTTGAGCAAAACTCTCTGCTCTTCAGGCGATAGTCTTCTCAATGTTTGGTTACACTTAAGGCATAAACCTTTTCGTCCGATCGATGTCTCAAATCTTTTATAAGATAACCTTTCCATGAGTTCATTGAACTTTGCGATTAAATCCATATCAAAGACTATTAATTTGTTGCTAAGAATTTGCAATATGTTTAGTGTTTGGTCTAAATTAAGCTGAGAATCATTGAGAGAAGCGATAATTTTGGGCATTAATTGCTTGTCGACATTCATGTCTGAAAAACGTCTCATCAAATCAAATGATTGTTCAAAAAGTCTGAACCGAATGCAAGAATCAATTATACGATTGATTAGATTGTAATCAACGGTCTTAAGTGAATCCAACAGTTGTATGGCGTGAAGACAATTGTCTGGTGAGGATTGCGTCAAACCTATGATGCAGTCACTCATCACCGGATGTGTGATCTGATTGTTGTTATATTTGTGCAGTAAGTCATCGCTGGTCTCGCGGATGAGTTCAATGTGTGAGCTGTCGATGAAGTGATCGAAATGACTGATGAAATGGCAGAACCGAGAGGAAGCGATGCTATTGTTGACCACATTTGGCAACACTTTTATGAAACCACTCAAAGAAGTGAACAGTTTTTGGTCCACTTTTTGACAATCGGTTCCGTTATTCAACAGAAAAGCTGACATCAAATCAATTTCAAAATTATGTCTGAAGACCAGCCTTTGTTCAGTGAGTTCAGCGACCAATTGATTCCAATCGATATTACCATTGGTCTCAACATTCTTCTTGAGGACCAGCTCTTGAATAGTTTGTAGTTTCGACTCTTTGATCATCTGTTTGTCTCTCAAATACTTCAGACTTAAGTGTCTATTAATTGCAATCAAACCAATCGATTGACATCTCACGAGGAGAGGTCTGACAGAGAGTGCAATGATTGCAGTCATCGCACACATTGACCACAAGAAGTCACTGACTGTTCCCTCGACCACAGTTCACTTAAAATAATCACTTGTTTTGACACTTCACCCAAAATAAGTTCACGTTTTGATCGCTATATAAATGACGACAACTTTTGTCTCCAAAAACAACACTATTTTGTCACAAATTGTTTGTTTTGATTGCAAACACGTGTTGTTAAAAAACAACACACATTTGAAAACAATCATAATTTAGTTGTATTTTCATTGGCTTTTCACTACAAAAATGACTAAAAAGATACGAAATAATCACTTCAGTCAACCACTTCTACGCCAATAATTACGACAACACTTTGTGCGCCCTTTCGATGCCTTTTGGCCGCAAATCTACACAAAGTTTTGCAAATATGTTGCCATCACTTATGGATATATTTATCAATAAAATGCGTTCAGCTTTCGGTTAATCAAACATTTGCTGAATGATTTGAATGTGAGTTACAGTTTGTATGTCGATGTGTGTCAAGAATTGGCCGAAAAGTGATTCACTAATTATTCTGTGGTTTGAGTGTTGAGTGAAATAGTGAATTGAATTGAAAGTGAGATAATTGTATGAATTGATTGAATCTGTTAAGTGTTTAATTGATTGCAATTATAGTTATAGTGAAGATGTCATCACTTCTGTGCCGAAACACCAGACAATGTCTGTATTATTATCCCATTGGAGTGAGTATTGACATAATTATAAGCGATTTATTTGAAGTTTTGCTAATTTATGAAAATTATATTTTCAATGAAAGGTGAGAACCACTCAAACAATGGCTGAAACCAAGAATAAGCAGAAACTGAAGAAGTTCTCAATCTATCGATGGGTCAGTAGTTGAACGCATGTATTGACGGCTTAACCATATTTGTGACATAATTAGCGTAAAGACGATATAGTGTTGAATATTACAGTTTGTAGAGTAATGTATGAACGAGTCCTTCAAACACACAATTGTTGATCGCATAAGTGTCGGACATATCTTCACTGCACACTCCAAGCGTTTCATTTAATTTATATACAGTCTGTCATTATATGGAAATATAAAAGATTTTGTGATAACAGTTGGATAACTGTTTGACAAAAGCCATAACCCTTTGCCCATACAATACAATAGACTATATAATACTGATTGCATAATAGATGGCAATTTGCATATTAGTCGGCATTCTTAGCGACTAAATAATTAGAGAAAACCTTTTCTTATCGCAAGTTATGATAATGTATTGCATTAATCATGAAATAATTCCTGTAAAGCAATTACTCTTATCAGGAGTTGACACTTACTTATAACAGTTGATTAGATTAGACACAACGTCTGAGTTAATGCTAGCATTTAAACTGCAATTCTGTTGCACTCTTGTATCCAACCATAGGATCCCGAGAAGTCTTCAGTGAAACCACATTTACAG